CCAAAAACAGAAGAATCGGGAGAAAACACAGGTCCGCCTAGAGAGGAGGACTGTTGGAGGGACTGGCGCAAAACAGAGTTTACTGGTGAAAACCAGATTTTTCTTCGTAAGCATGAAGAGAAGAGTGGATGAACCTATTCGAAGTATGTTAATCCCATCTGAATCACGGTAGATCATGTTGTCAGTTCTGCGCAAAGAGTGATTCAAATGATCAACTCAGGCAATCGGGCCTCTGCAGTTGTACTCGCCTTTCAAAGGGGGGGGGGGAAGCCGTGTTTGGTGCAGCGCCAGCCTGTTCCCTTTAAAGTGTGGAAGCTGGCAGGACTAGTGGATAACAGGCTGCCGCCGCACGAATTCCTTCTGCAACGCAGCGTCCACAGCGAAAGTGACTGTAAATGAGATCGCGAGTGGAGCCGAGGAGCTCCATGCCAGATGGTACGGGTTAAGGCGAAACGTCGCGAGAAACCGACTAGCCTGCGACGTTGTGGTTATTCATCTATGCTGCAAGGCGTAACGCCCCGTTCATACATAGCGAATATCGTAAGTCCACTATTCGGGAGCGTGCACCATTTCAGCGAATCCGTGATAGAGGATTATATGGGAATCGCGTAACTCCATTCACTAGCAAATCCGCAGTTCTCTCAAATGGCAGATTTGTCAAAAATGCTAAATGAACGGGACAACCGATTTGGCACCTTATTTTTTTTCGCCACTCCGCAATCGTGAAGTATGAACGCGGGTTAAGGCCCATGATGGCTATGCGACGTCACTTGTAACATTTTTGCCGTGCAACCTCAACTCGAACTCACACCCATGTTTAGGATGTTTTTACATTTGAGAAATTTTAAATAAGAGTTACATGTAGGAGCTTCATATCGATTATGTGCGCTTATTCTCAGGATAATTGGCGATATCTACCCTTTACTGGCCCAGTTTTCGAAGTTCCGGTGAGAGCCTCGATTTGTCGGGAAGTTACGGCAGTTTGGCCCCTGAACACTCTATCGCATCCGTTCGCCACGAAACAGCCCAGCTGTGTCCTAGATACCAGCGCCATTACTTGGGGTAACCGCATATAATCCGCAGATTAAAAAACTCACCTATTCCTATCATTGCCATGGCTATTATGAACGTCAGAGCATAGGCTCGCCTTGGTTCTTCATTTTTTCCATACCCTTTGGCGAAATACCCTATTTTTCGGAAACAGCCTGTCCTTGCATACAGCCTAAACTAACTTTGTTGAGAAAACAAAACGTAGACGATTAGTATGATGAAACAGCATAGGATTCAGTTCATGGTCGGTGACCCAGTTTGACGCTCCTCAAAGCTCGGTACCCACTATCCACAACAGGGGCTGGCGTTTCCCTGCAGTCTGTCATCAGAAGCAGCCCTTCGAGCAGAAATGGGATCACTTTCACTGACGTTAAGCACTGGACCAGGGAACAGGATCGTTGTCCTATCAAGGAGGAGGGGGGGGGCGCTTAACTTATTGGAGAGAAGTCATATTTGAGCCTGGTGAAACTTTTTCGGGGAGAAAAATTTTCCCGGTACTCGAATTTTCACTGTTTCGTTGATGTGGATGCCGCTTTCTGCTCGATGGAAGTTTTTTGGGAGGGAAATTCGGAAAAACTTCCGAGAAAATAGTAAAAAACTGAAGGACTTCGGTAAGAGCGTACTCAGGGTAGGAGAGGGAATTGTAGTGGGAGAGAAACTTTGAGTTGTCATACCACATTAACATTTCACCTAGCTGGATGCTGTACTCTGACTGGGACCAGTGCAGACTTGGAAACCCGGACAAGAAGCCCCGACACGGGAAGCGCTTGAGACTGGAGAGGTCCCAGGGAAAGAAGCATGGGTTTGAATAACTTCTCTCATGATAAGAAATGATAAATCTATTTCAGCAGACATCCCAAAAAAAGAAACGAGTCTGTGAAAAGTAGCCAGGTGATTAGCGAAATATGTAACACTTGCAACCATTCTAGTGGAGTGAATCGGAAAGAAGTATTGAAATGGTAAAGGAGCACTTCTGAGAGGTACACTTCAAGAGCACTCTATATGAAGAGCTCGAAGACACACCTGAAATACTTTGGGAGCGCTGACAAGACTTGCGAGAGCTGAACTGAGAGTGGCTGCAAAGATTCCTGCAGTGATCAAAGGTCCCCAGAAAGATTCCATTTCCATGATCTGTAAAAGCGCATAAATATTTTTCAAAATCAACACATATGTCGTTTGAACATATGTGGTTGGAAATGTCCAAAGCATGAAAATCACGAGCCTGGAAATAATTCATCAGTCCATAAGGACATGTGTTGTTTGCTGCACAGTCTGGTGGTTTGAAAACTGTTCCATTCCACATAGGAGGGTTAATACCGTCTGCATCTCTGAAATCTCCACCAAGCAGTTCATATAAACAAACAAGCTGCTCTCTTCAAATTCTTGGAGACAAACTGTAGTGTACGCCGTGAATACTAGCCCTGAGGATGTGAGAGGTGAATGGGTCCGTAGCCGCAGTGACATGTAAATTCCCCGCTCCAAAGTGTACAGGAACGGAACTGGAGAGTGTGATACCCCGTGCCTTCTTATACTCCACACGCTTTTCCCTGTGGTTAGCGAAAGGATCATGTGGTCGGCCGCTCGGAGCGCGAGTGCGCTGATGAGGAGTTCGGTCATTGTCGCCTACCCTGGCCCGACCACCCCCTCCCGAAGCGGAAGACAGTGCCAAGCTTCGTAGCTGCCTGTACTCGTCAGCACCAGACATGCCAAGGAACCAGATCCCACGGATGATATGAATGAGAGCATTGTTTTACCTCACCTAGTTCGAGGATTGGCGAGCCGAACCTATACCGCTTCGTCCGAACAACATGAAGAACCCCATTCGATTAATTATGAACAAACTATTTGCTTGATAAGCGGCGCATTACATCTTACATCAAGAAATCCCGAAATCGCATTAGCAGCTGCGAGTACGGCATTCTTGAATTAATGGTGACTCGCGGAAAAACTTCACGCGAAAAGGAGATTCACAGTCTTGCGCGCTGCAGACGCGGGGTCATGTCAGGGGATCGGGTTTGGCGCGACGCCAGGCAGTTTTCCACCAACTGTGATAGCCTCCCAGCTTCCAAAACTGGAGAGACTGACACCGCGGCCGAATCCAGCCTCCCTAGCATGCCTCAGCGTCCGACTGTATATCTACCAATCCGAAGATTTGTGGATCGGACAGGTCGCCGCTCACAACAAACAGCATGCGAATTGATTATCGGGTTCTCCAGAACTACGACTTTACCATCCTCTGCACTTTGCCAAGTCAGAAATGCACCACATTTGCATGGTAGGTACTCTCTTTTTTGCCTTGTATGAATGCATCCTGGACGCTGCGGCTTAGGAGGGGCATTTTGCACTTTTTCTATCATTCTTTGCATATTCCTGCTTCGCCCATACACGCTCCATCGGTGAAAACTCGTATCTTGTCTAATCCTGATAACGAAGCTCTTGCTATTGCATAGCTTTACAGGAATTCACAGGGCGGAGAAAGTGATCGATGAGAACTAGCAAATAACCGACCTGCAGGCAGTCTTATTGACCGTGAGAAAACAGAGTTGGTCATACAGTTGCCTGACTGCCTGTGCCGACGACTCACTTTACTAAATCATAAATCACAATCAGTTTTCTTACATGATGCAAGAACCATGTTTCATACTGTTGTGAGGGTGATACTAGATCACTGGTATCCCTGATCAACATCCTACACTGGTCGGTATATAAGACCAGTCCTCGAGTATGGTTCATTCTATTATTGCTCATCGCCTTCGGAATAAACCTATTCAACCTCGTCGTACGCGTCCTGCACATTTCAAGGATTACAACAGTGGCGATCAGGAGTTGTCCGAAGTTGCTGGTGTTCCGGTATTCAATCGTGAAGTTGTAGTTGAACAGCCAACGCCGACACAGGATGCATTCATTGCCGAAATCAACGCCGCTGGAAAGTATCAAATCCATCAAACGATCACCGTGGACCGCGAAATTGCCTTCAGAGACGCCCTAGTTGCCAACCTGAAGAAGAAATTCGCAAATGTATTTGAACCTGGTCTCGGACGATGCACGACGGCAAAAGCAACTCTGAAACTGAAACCAGACGCCGTACCTGTATTCAAGAGGAAACGCCCGGTACCATATGCCAACGTTGAAGCACTTGACAAGGAAATTGACCGTCTACTTGCAGAAGACGTGCTCTCCCCTGTCACCTACTCCAAATGGGCAGCACCTATCGTCGTAGTGAAGAAGGCAAACGGAACTATTCGCCTATGTGCCGACTATTCCACAGGCCTAAACGACGCGCTTATGCTGCACCAGCACCCACTGCCCACACCTGAGGATATTTTCACAAAACTTAATGGTGGAACAGTATTCACACAGATCGACTTTGCCGATGCCTACTTGCAAGTGGAAGTCGACGATGCCTCAAAAGAACTTCTGACGATCAACACCCACCGAGGACTATTTGCCTACAATCGTCTACCTTTCGGAGTTAAATCTGCTCCAGGCATCTTTCAGCAGATCATAGATTCCATGATTGCTGGATTGAATGGGTGTGCCGCTTACCTAGACGACGTAATCGTTACTGGTCGC